TTAGAATCTAAGATGTGTGGATGTACAAAAAAATATATTTTTTTATATCTGAGAACTGGTTAGACCGATTCACTGAAAAGAACCGGTTCAAAAGAACAATTTGTTCCCGATTCGGACATTACTACAATTAACTTGGATACCTGTTTTTGCATGCAGGTAGTGTTTCTTGTTAAGCTCTCGTAGTGCTTTTCTCTCCCACTGAAAATCGTGCAAACACAAATGTGATTATGTGTCGTTTTGGGCATGGGTACTAAATACATCAGTTGCATTAGAACAGATGCACGGTGTGATATCACGCGTTGTATCAGGACTGGACTGTGAGTCTGCTTTGGCTTAAAGGTGACTGTGTGGCTTAATGAAACAGTTTAAAGGGAGTGAAACTCAGCAGTAGGACTGGCCTAGTTCTGTGCTTATAGTTATGAGCTGCAGGATTGCCGTAAATTTGCTTTGTGTCAAACTAGATTATCCCTCGGGTGAGGAAAGGAAATTATAATAAATGGATAAGGTGATTCATTTTAATTTCTTTAATTGATACATTCCGTAAAGTGAATGATACATTTCATTAAAATCATTTAGTAATCAGGATTTATAGTTGCTTCTCTTAGCCATTGATTAATTTATTGTTATTGATATATACTTATTGTATGCGGAGTACCTGCTAGTTGGTTCTGTGGTGGTACTGACTTCAAACGGATTTGAAACTAGCAGCTCTTGACACAGGCTGGGGACAGAATAAGTTAGAGCCTAAACATTGTGTTCAGTGTCAGTATGTCTGCGGTCCTGCAACCTTCTCGCTTCTAATAAGAGCGCAGTATGACCCTTTGAGTCACGATGGTCGGTATGTCAAGTTCGTCTAAATGGCAGGGTGGCAGAGAGCACTGGCAGAGTGGCACACTGGCCCTGTTATGATTCATCATTTTCCATCTTCCGTGACCAGGCGCGCCCTACCGCAGGTCCCTGACTGTGTGCTTCATTAACAAGGGTGTTTCCCAGCCCTCACTAAATATACATGCACTGCTTTTGGCTAATTTCCCACCCAGACCACGAGTGGGTCCATGTGTCCATGACCCATGTTGGACCCCAAGAGTTATTTGGTTAAGCATAACTGTGCTAATCTGTTTATTGGATGTTAAATGCATTTGCCAGCAATATTTCGTTCTCACAATGGAGAAAATTAATTTTCGTCCCTTCGACCTTTTACTTGTAAGGTCCAACTTTAACTTTGAACTCTGGAGTAGCGTAAATCTTTGTTTACGTTAAATGTAAGTGGGACACTTCACAACAGGATCAGTTTGTCTCATGAACTATTTTTATCAGTAAACTTTCTCTGTACTGATGACTTCATGGGACAGAAAACTCATTTGACTTATTCGGCCGGCTATGGTTTGATGCAGTGTCCTCTAATACCAGCTCAGTGAGAGTTTCACCTTTTAGATTTTCTGTCCCTTGTTGGGGGAATAATGATCCTTTGCAAATCACATCTTCCTTTGATTATTGGAGATTTTTTACTGCTTGATATGTAAAGCTGTGTTTAAAGTTTAATTTGATTTTGAGATTTACTTCCGCTACTTGAGAAGCCATTGGCCCTTGTGTCCGGAGCTGACATACCATGCTGTGAATGACTAAATGTTTTTCAAAACCAGAATTGTGAGTGTTGTTTGGATGGAGAGCATATATTTTGCTGCTGCTCCAGGTAGCTGACAAGCATGGGATTGGAAGCTTTTGTGTCGAAGGGAGTTTTATTCTTCATGCCAGAACTACCTTTGGGGTATTATTCATCTACAGACCCTCACCGGGACCCCCGTTGTGCAGATGTGAACGTGGAGATACAGCTGGGGAGGCTGACTATAACAGCGTGAATAAGCACGACTATTAGTTTCCCCTGGTTTTATTTCTGTCTGATAACATACAGATGCTCTCAGGAGACTAAATTAGAAAAGGAATCACCTGATATGGCTCCAGTACAGATTGTTGCATAGAAAATCAGCCTAAGGATGTTTCGAAACATAGAGAAGTTCCATGTTTAAAAACAGAAATCTTCAGATGGCTCCAGGATAGTATTTTTTCGTCATATCTGAAGGAATAATGTGTGCAACTTTGCCCAGAGTTGTGGCTCAGGCTGAAAGCGAACTCGGATTTTATTGCCAGTCAATTTTAGTTAATTTTGAATTAAATATACAAAATAAAGTGGCCCTGGATTATTAGTTGTTAAAGCCTCTTGATTAAGCATTTTCTACTTCGCTGATAAGTGTGTCTGTAGTTCTGTGCAATTCTTCAATAAAAAATAGTGGTGGACTGTGGAAGTTTTGACCGATACTGATAGCCAATGTATTTTTGTGTGATATTACCGATACTGATTACCGGCTGACCTCTAAGCTTCACACACCTGTGGTGAATCCGACGTTGGTGATGTTCCTTCTTAAGATCCCATGAATCTGTGTAGCAGCCACATCGTATAATTCAGCCAGTGAGACATCAGCGGAGTAGCATCGACCTGGGAGACTGTAGCGAGGTCCTAAGCGCCAAATCAGCCGACGAAATCCCTCGTCCTCCACTACGGAAAACGGCTGATCGTCAAATGCAATCATCTGCATTATTTAGTAGTTATCCCGATAGATTGTGCATCTCTTGAAGACCGGGTGTGAGATCTCTCTTTGTCTTGTTACATGTGTGCCTCCATGTGTAATTGAATTGTGCTTCCAAATTGTAACAGATCATATGTGCAGTGTATGTTCTGCTCACTGCAGTAGGGGTGTGTGAAATCCTTTAGAACAGTTCTGATCTATTGGTTCCTCACACATCCAGCTACATGCACAACATACCCGGTAAAAATTCCAATACAGATATGTGCCGAGCAAATGCAGAACCTTTGCGTGTTTGTCTTTCCCCCGAGCAACATTCGGAAACGGGCAGAAGAAGCTGCCCCACTACGCATGTGTGGCTACGTCCAAACGTGAAGATGGACGTTGTTAATCTGAATACAAGCACAGCACAAGTATTTGTGTTGCACAGTTCTAATGTGAAGCTGAAAGCTGGTAATGTGAATACAGTACAGATCAGACACAGTTAATTTCCTAAATGTGCACCTTAATTGATATTTATTTCGTAAATTTTAGGTCACAGCAGTGTTGACAGACTTTTATTTAAGAAAGTCAGTCATACTTTGTTCAGTAAACCACTTTTTAACAAAAGAAGCAGTTTTTCCTTTTACCCCGCTGTACCGAAAACGTACTGAACCGTGATTTCTGTGTACTGTTACACCCTTACACATTACTGTACATATTCTAATTATTGATAATAAATACATGGTGTCAGTATAAATAGACAGTAAGCAGGTGTTTTCTCTCTTGCCTATGTGCTAGCATGCTTTCCTTTATGCACTTGGAAAATACATAAAGTGCCGAACGAACATCTGTGTGTCACTCTGTGTTGAATCCGATGATGGTGTGTTGTATCCTGTCGTACCTTCGTGATGCTCTTATCCAGAATGACTGAGTGAGCAGCTCAGATTACTCAGGCAAGCAGTTGGCCTCCTACTTAAGACTTGTAGGTGAAATGAAAACCACAGGCAAAAGCGTCGACGTGTTCGTCTGTCGCAGGTGACGGCGGGCGAACGTTAGACAAGATGGGCTGTTCTGGCTTAAAGGCAAACACGGGTTCTGCGGTTCAGGATCAAAGCTGACTCCTGGGAGGCCGGTATTGATAGTGACACCTGCTAAGCCTATGTCTGATGTAATATTTTTTTTTGCTTCATTAAGTTAATGCGGGGAGCATTACTACGAGGATCAAGGTAGATGCCTTAATGCGTTTTGTAAACATGCGTCAGGTGACAGTCTAGCGGCCGATGACTTGTTTACTGTCAGAAATATGAGGCGCAGACTATGTTATAAATTTTATGACGACTTGATAGGTGTTTAATGGGTGTTTTCAGTCCCCCCCCCCCCATTTATTTTAATGCTCATTCACGTTTTTATTAATACTGGCAGAGGACGTGAAGTTCGTATGCACCAGCAGCTCGGGGCATCCGGGGCTGAGGAAACCCCTGTGCCCAGCATGTGTCACGAAAATATTTACCCTAATTACCCTCACGGCTCGATGTGATCCAGGGTTATTTTGAGCCGTGCGGCCCCACCCCATGCTCACCTCCGTCGCACCCCCGCCATGCCTCCGACAGAGGTGAATTTCAGCTTGGCGCAGGTTGTGCTGCTCGTTGACGAAAATCCTCCGATTCTGCGCTCCCGAACTGTGATCGACATAAACATTTTAAATAAAAGCTTTATCCAAGAACTACTGATGGATTTTGGATAGAATTATTGGTTTGAATTATTTAAGACATGAAAACAACAGTGTAGTTTAACCAGTTTCTCATTCACTTGTATTTATCTTTATATGTCTCTCTATATATATATATATTAATAAATAGATTTTAAGTATATAAATAATTGTCATATCACACCACAGTTCTCTCTCCCCCAGTTTCTGGGCTTTATTTACTGTAACCTTTAGTGTTGAAGGTTGTGTTTGTGGTGGAACATGTGTTGTTTAGATGAGTGGCTGGGAATCAACCAGCCGCTTGGTGTAATTGTAACCCAATGACCCTGAAAAGATGTCAATGACTGCCTCAGACCCCCCCCGTCACCTAGACGCTGCTTTCTGAGCCCAGTTCCTCATCCTGACATGATGCACGGCCTGCTTACCTGCACTAATTGCATGATTATGGGTCATTAAGCATACAATGATCATTCAGCTGAACTTGCAGTGATGGAAAGCATTTATAAACTAAGTTGATTTTATTATAGCGTCTCATCATACTGTGTCAGAAGCAATGCAGCTTCTAATGCTGCCTTTTATGCATTTTGGTATTTTACTTAAAGTATATTTCTCATGGGTTTAAGAACAGCAATGAGGGATTTAGTGAAATGAAGGTTCTTTGCTGCTGTTCCCATAAGTCTTATACTAATAATAGGAAAATTGTAATTCTTCCTCTTCCCCTTTTACAGATATCCAAGAATTTTATGAAGTGACCTTATTGGACAGTGAGAAATGTGTGGAGTCTCCCAAACCAGCTGAGCCCACGGCCTCTGTGAACCTGTGGGATTTCTCCAGCCTTCAGAGCACGACCGTGACATCAGAAACCCAGCCCAGCAGCATTAGCACCAGTATAGAGGTATGTGACAAGCTGCCCCAGTCCCGAGACCGGCCTGCCCTGTAGGTAGCAGGAAATTAGCAGCAGTGGCATTGAGATGCTATTTGCTAATGCTACATTTTTCTCGGTCCTCCAAGAGCGGCATGCCGTATGTTTAGCCCAGACAACTGTTGGGATCATAGGGCGGTTTTGGCCACTGGTCCCTTTAGGCATCCCAGTTATCCCAGTTATTTTTTTGAAAAATAAATCATTCCCGCTATCTTTAGCATTTCAAGTCCATAAAAGTTAAATGGAAACGGTACCACAAGGTGGTCAGTTCTGCAGGCATTTTTTCCTTGCAATTAATTTCATCTTTTCTTTTTCACGATGTCCCTGAAAAGCAGTCTGGGCCTAATTGGGCTGTAACTCTTTGCCAGTGTAGCGTGGCTTTCTGTCTCGGCCCACATTCAGTCTCGGTTACAGGTTACGAAAGTTCAGTGGGCTCCCAGTTATTAACCCTGCATGGCATCTGGCTGTGCTGGTTTACATGTTCTACAGCAGCTGCTGTAAGGAACGAACAGCAGCGTTTGAGAGAAACCTACTCCATGACAGTTGTTTATTTACTGATGTCAAAGTGTCTCTGTGTTTCTGTCTTTCATCGCAATTAGTCAGTGTTGAGAGATTTGTTCCCCGTGGCGTAGATCTTTAAGAAGGTACGTATAGCTTGTCACGTGACGAAGCCGTGCTTGGTGTGTTCTTACGGAGTGTTTAGAGTAACTCTCATGACACACTTTGGTAGCTTGGTGATCATCTTCATCTTCATTCCCCCCCCCCCGTTTCTGTGTCATGTCATTGCATCGTTTTAGCTGGAGCCACAGACCATCTCTGTGTTATTTGATTAAAATGAGGAGGTGGAGTTAATTTTTTTGGCTTCATTGGTTTAGAACTGAGACAAATTGCACCGTCAGAGATAGACAGTTGATTGTTATTCACTTGAGTTTAGAATTCTCTAGAGGAAATGCAGACAGCAGAATTAATGTAGCATTTTCAAACTCGTACAGCCTCATTTATTTTATTTTATTTTAAATATCATACTCATTTGGCCTCTCAAGTCCATTATATAATCTTCCTGTGTGTTTGGATTAGATTTGCTGCAGTGCCCTAAACAAGATGATTTCTTTTCAAATTCTGTTCCCACAAATTAAATGTGTACAGGATTGTGGGTCCCTGTCTTTGGGGAGGAGAATGGATTACTCGACAAAATGTTACAAATCAATTGCCCCGCCCCCCCCACCTTTCTTTGTCCCGGTTGTTAAATGCGGACGACGTTGCCATCGCCTGACTTTTTCCCGTGCAATACCCTTGAGAACGGTGAAATTGAATTATGACTTGGCAGCTTTTCATCCTGCTGCTTATGAAATGTAATATCAGTCATTCGGTGTTTCATGTGATGACAAGCACAACACTTAGAGTTTGCGAAGTGACCACTCAGAAATCCCCGAGTGCGAAGCTGACGCCTTATTCACGCTGAGATATCGATCATCCATTGTGTGCGTTATTGATTCACTCCCTGTGAAGGTGTCCGTCAGTGTGTGCTTAATGTGAGGCGTGTGATTTTCTCTGCCTCGGGTGCCAGCAGTGATTAGGAGTGAGATTACCTTGTTACTGGTCTGTCCTCTGCAGGAATAGATCCGGGCCTTTTGCTTTCTGTGGTCACTCTCTCCTGAAGGAACCGAAAGGATGGTGAAGGGTGTGGTTTGCAAAATGCATGGAAAAAAAGGCAATTTTTCCATTTTCAAGAACATGCTGTTCACCTCTATGTAATGGGCATCATTCTAGTTTAAACAGCACATTTTAGCTGAGCAGCAAGTTCTTTTCACAAGGGTATACTTATTTAACTGTTAGTACTGATTCAATCTTTCTTATTGATTTAACAAATTGCGGTACATAGAGATCTTTTTATTCATCTTTGGGATTTCAGTGCGGATTCCCCCCCCCCCAACTACTTTGGCAGTGAGACACTTGAAATATCAAGGGGCTTGATAACAGATATTCAGCTGGAGCAGAAAGGCTCAGAAACGAAGTGAGGAGGATAAGTTAATTGATCTGAAGAGCCGGAGAGCGAGCGAGCTTAATGCCCATTGGCTGGCTGTACGTTGGGTGAGGGGCCAGGGGTGATGCTGAAGGGTGGGCCACCCAGTGCCATGCTGGTAAACTTCATGCTCAGCTGACTGCAAATGCCAGAGGCTGGCACCAACATCTCAGCAGCTCCTGATTTTTGAACCTGTAGTTTTAATGCAGGCACTCGGCGTTCCCTCCCAAGGCCGCTGGTAGCTCTCTGCCTGGTCCTGATTTACTGGGCAGTGCCGGGAACCCCGCAGCTAGCCACGGGATCTTCTGGGTCCCGGAGCTTTCTGACTGATTATGTTTATGCTCCTGGAGAACGGTGGGCGTGGCAGACCACCTGACCGCAAAAAGCGGCTGCAGACTGGCGATTCCATCTCTCTGCACAAGAATGTCACTATCGCAGTCGTGTACATGCCTTGTTTAGAGTGCAGGAATTCACAGAAGGATACGCTTATTTAAGGCCAAAGCTCATCTCTGACCATCTTGTCCTCTTAAAGCTGCAGTACCATTTGCTGTGCTGCCATTTACTTGTACCTTGTACTAGTCTAGGGTATATTGTGGTTAGTAGTTGTCCACTTTATAACCCTTTGGGACGTTGTGTAAAATGTAAAACAGAATGCAGTGATTTACAAATCCCATAATTCATGCTGAAATATACAAGGCCGTCTCTGGAAAAAGACGTAATCTGGATGGCAGTGTATGTCGCTCCGATTCCTGTATGTATCGGTGCTAATGTGTTTGTAAATCAGTGTTAATGGTGCCCTCCCAGACGTGCAAGCTACCCAGGCCAAGGGCACTAATGCACCCCCCCCATACCATCATGGATCCGTGGACCCGTCCACTGATAACAAGCTGGATGGTCCCTCTGCTCTTCAGCCCGGAGGACACGGCATCCACTATTTCCAAAAAGAATTTGAAATTTTGATTCATCACACCACAGGACATAACATTTTGCCTCAGTCCATCTTAAATGAGCTCGGGCCCAGAGACATCTGCGGTGTCTCTGGATCACGTTCAAATATGGTTTCTACTTTGCATGGTAGAGCTTCATCCTGCATTTGTGGAGGCCACAACGAGCTGTGTTCACAAACAGTGGTCTTCGGAACTGTTCCTAAGCCCATGCAGTGATTTCCACTGTAAATGTTTTTAATGCAGTGATGCCTGAGGACCCGAAGATCACGGCTATCAAATATTGGTTTTTGGCCTTGTCTCTTGTGTACAAAGTTTTCTCCATATTCTCTGAATCTTTTAATGATACTGAAATCCCCAAATTCTTTGAGGAACGTCATTAACTTGTTGCACTATTTTCCCATGCAGTCTTTCACAGGGAGGTGAAGCCCTCCCCATCTTCTCTGCATAGAGACTCTCTGAGAGGCTCCTTTTATACCCTGTCATCTTACTCACCTGTTGCCAACTAATAGTATCAGTTATGAGAGATTCAGCCAGTGGCCTGTACTACGAAGTGGGGTTACTGGCTTATCGGGGTAACTTGTCGGATTTAAGGTACCACAGTTTAAATGGACTTCGTATTCATTCACTTACAGACTACCTTAAATCCGACAAGTTACCCCGATTACACCAGTAACCCCGCTTCGTAGTACAGGCCACAGGTGTTTTGTTTTAGCATTACACAACTTTCCCAGTTTTTTGACACGTTTTGATGGCATCAAATTCAAATTGAGCATGTATCTATCATAAAACAAGAATATTTCTCACTTTCAACATTTGATAAGTTGTCTTTGCTCTATATTCAGGTAAATATGGGTTTATATGATTTGCAAATCATTGCATTCTATTTTTATTTACATTTTACAGAACTTTTTTGGAAATAGGGCTTTATGGCACCTAGCTGGTTAAATCGCGTACTGTTTCATTCGCTGTTTGAGGTCGACATTTCGTCGTCGTACCATGTCATGCAAACATGAAGCATGTGTTTATCATGGGTCTTGTATTTGAAATTTTTTGGTTGCTCGGACAGAATTGGATCCATTTGGTATTACTCATTGTCCTCTGAAAGGAAAGGAAGCTAAATCCGTCATCGTGGTTTCTGGCGTTTCCTTTCGGGGGAATCGTTTCATTGTTTTGTTTGCACATCTCTAATTGAAAGAATGCAAATAGACTGAATTGCATTTAAGTGGTTTTGTTAATCTCCTACTGTAACTGTGCCTCTGATTTGAATTACTTTTTTTCTTCTCCTTTTCCCTTTGTATGAAATTTCCTGCTCTTAGGACTCCCCCCTCCTAAACGAAATACTACATGCGCTAGAAAAAGCTTTGTCTTCCAGAGCCGAACAAGTAAGTATGGTGTCACTGGGACGGGGCACCTCCCATAGCCGCATGCCTGGCGGTCTCATCTCCTGCCGCCCCATGGTGTGGGCGGGGCATTCCTTGTGATGTCGTCACCCTCAGCTGCATGGTGTGGGCGGAGCATGCCTTGTGACCTCATCTCCCCGGTGTGGGCAGAACATGACTAGTGGTCTCATTCCTCTTCTCAACCCTGTGTTCTACTCAGCTCTACTCCTGATGACATGTGGAGGCCCCCCCGCATAAAACATACTCCATTACCTGCCCCATTTATATACTGATACTTGTTTTCTTCTCAGGTTTGCGCATCTCCTGACAAACGTGGGGTCTGTGCTCTGACAGTCACCCCCTATAAAGATAAAGCAGAATTTGGGCCAGTAAGATCCAGTCAATGTTGGGGGCAGTGGTTGATTTTAATTGTGGAGTTGTGCTTCTCTGATCTAAGTGGTGTTGGTTATTATGGAATAATGGAGAGAGATTTTGGATGATCTCTTTTATGTAGATATAAATGTTATTATTGAACCCATCTCCTGGTTTGGCTACAGTTGCGTGTCCAATTCAGACCAATGTGAAGAAACACCCGGCAGAAGCCCTTCAAGATCCTCTTCGTGT